TTATCCACTTGGTTAATGGGGGAGTGGGGGAAACGGGGGGGGGGGGATCTCTGCAGCTTTGAAGATGGGAAAAGTCTGATTGCTTGGCATTCTCACCAAAGAGCAGAACTCCACTCGCTATGACAAATAAATAATAAAGTCAACTCCCTCCAGTTTCTGAGCTTTCAACAGGTGCTGTTTGGAAACTAAGATTAATGATGACTGAGAGGTATCTTTTTAAACTTGAAAGCTGAGGTTTCTAGGACATGAAACTCTGCAGCTGATTCCAGTCTCTATTCTTGCTATTACAAGACAGAAAACTATCCTTGCATTGCTACATGCCCAAAATAAATCATAGGTAATGGGCTTTGAAGATTAAAAATTTAGTAGTCTTATGTATTAAGCATTCAGGCACTTCAATATGTGTGGCAGACAGAAAACATGTGGTATTTTCACCCATTCTCAGCTACAAAGTCATATTTTGATATAAGGATGAAAAACCATCTGCCATGAGTGTTGATTTCTTTGTTTTACTTCTGAAGGCTGTAGGGACATGTTGACATTGGACTGGACCAATTTTCTTTTTTCTTTTTATGTTGCAGTTTTAAAGGGCCAAAATAACTGCAGTAACCCTCACAGATTACATTATGACCATTAGACTACAGGGGTTTTTAAAAAGTCTTATATACCAAGAGTTATTAGCTACATGTCTAACCACTCTGTCATGTTCAGAGGTGAACAGAGGCTAAGGATGTGCAAGGAGCATGGTCTGTTCCTTAGAAGTGCTGTGTATAGACTTCCCACAAGCAATTGGCTGGCCACTGGTGGAAATAGGATACTGGTTCCAAGGATTAATGCTTGTTCTAAGTCAGCAAAACTCCTCTTTTCATTATGGAGAGCACTACAATGCAAAGTCTGTGCATATAAGTAAAAGCAGCTGCGACAGCTCAAACTAAAAGGGGCAAGATTACAAGAGACTTTCTAATTCCAAAACAGCTGCAATTCAAACAATGTTGCTTGAAACTGCCCATCCCACAGGAAATTCCACCCTTGAGATCTTCTTGTCACCCAAGAAGAGTAAAACAGGAATTTTCCATAAAAAGGAAGCTATGAACATTTTATTCAACTCCGTGACAATGTAAAAACATGAAGGAAATTTAGCAGATGACTCAAGATGGTATCCCAAGGAAGATATTTCTATTCATCTATATAGGAGATGATGCTTAGAACGTGTAACAAAATGTTGCTGGGCAGAGTTCTGCTGCTCAGGGTTGCAGATCCTCCATCTGTTTCTTGCCTGCACATGTATCCACTTTTCATTACTACTGTGCATACTCAGTCCTCACTGAGTTGTTCTGGGAGGCAAAATCCTACTGAGATGTTTCCCCCACCAAGACCTTTTGAACTTCTGCACACCTATGAGCTCTCTAAAACCTCTTGAAAATTTCTGAGATACATAAGCAATGGTACTCCATCTGAAATTTCAAATGGCAGAAATAATTAACTTTCTTGCATAAGAAACAAAGAATGTACACTTTCTTGAAACAAATGTACCACTGCATAGATTCAGGTACAATAAATATTTAAATAAGATTTATGCAAACTTATTGCACAGGATAGGGAAGCTATTTGGGTCATAATATGGAATAGGATTATTTAAATTTCCCCCTTCTGATTTATAAGGCAATAGGTACTATGAACATGAATTACTTTTCAGTGTGCATGTAGCTTATATGTTAAGCATCTCAGAGAAATAATAAATTCTATCCTTATTGCTAGATATGAAATAAGTTCTCAGAGCTTTTCCAGTATTCCCATTGATTCATAGCTCCAAGAACTTCTTGAGCAAAATAGTTCTGGATTTACACAAAGCTTACATTGGTTTCAAACAGAAGAGAATGGAAAAGAATTTATATTGTTTCTTTGTTCACTAGAGCAAGCTCATTTCCTAGCTGCAAAAAGAAAATTGAACAAACCTATGTGTGCAGCTACCTCCCTCAGTCACTTTTCAGTTTGGAACTGGGTTCCACGTTGTGAGACACTGGGAAATAGTCCGAGGAAACAGCCACAGCACTTAATTGGAGCCCTAAAGCAGCCACCTTTTCTCCTCTTCAGCTAAGTCTACCATGCGCACTTTAAGCAGTCTGAAGCTAGAGCCTTGGGTGAAAAAAGCAAAGGCTATACATATGTAATAGGTAAGCTATGTACAGGTACTCCTCAACTTACGACCATTCGTTCAGCGACCGTTCGAAGTTACAGTGGCGCTGAACTTATGACTAGTCCCCAAAGTTATGCCTGTTGCAGTGCCCTCGCGGTGATCAAAATTCAGGCGCTTGGCAGCCCACCTGTACTTACAACTGCAGCGGTGCTTCAACTTCCCCCACCTGCCTATCTTCTCCCATCTATGCCCTTTGGGTCCCCTGCCGCTCTGTGCTACACCGCCCCAGCTGACCTTCCCTATCTTCTTGCTCTGACTGCTGATGAGGCATGCCTGCCCTGGCCCTCGCGAGGCAGCTGCTGGCTACACAAGGCTTTCTTCCCCAGGTTGCGCACGGTGGTTTCCTCATGAAACCTGGCTTAGATAGCCTCAGTTACTGGGCTGGGGTAGCTGGGGCTTCCTGGGGCATGGTGGCTTTGCGCTGCGCTGTTGGAGCTTCCTGGGGTGTGGTGCCTTTGCGCCGCGCTGCTGCACCAGGTGGGCTTCACGCAGTACAAAGGGGCTTCCTGATGTGCTGTGGCTCTGGGGCTTTTTGCTGGGGCTGGGCTTTGCACAGCGCAAAGGGGCTTCCTGGCATGCCATGGCTCTGGGGCTGCAAAAAGCTTGTGGCCCCAAAGCTGCAGCATGCTAAGCAGCCTGTGAGCTGCAGCATATTCTTTCCTTGGCCTTCCTGAGCTTGTGCTGCACCGAAGCACCCTCCTTCCCCAACTCATGTGCAGCCTGCGCCGGCCCTTCCAGGCCTCCCCCACCACACAACACCCCTGTGCTCCTTACCTGGGGCTCCCACCTCTTCCCACTTAATGACACGCGTGTCTTGGGGTTACAACAACCCAGAAATTGCAATTGCTAAGTGATGCGGTCACATGACATTGTGCTTTACAACTGCATTGCTTAGTGACAGAAATTCCCATCCCAACTGTGGTAGAAAGTTAAGAACTACCTGTACAGACAAGCTTCTCATCTGTGTACTGGGGGTTAGCAGTTGAAATCTGAAGATTCATTGGTTCGTGCCTTTAGAATTTCTGCTCTCATTTAAAAAAATGAACAAATCCCAATTTTCTCCATTAAAAAAATGTGTTCACAAGGATCTTACAGCCGATTTACCCTTTTCATCAAGATGCGGAAACTGTTAAACAATAATTTTACACACTTTTTTGTTAAGCTGTGAATATACTAAAAGCAGATAATGCTACAATAAAGCACCTCCCAGGCTCAGGTCACTCTGCCCGTGCTCAGGTTCCACTCATATATTGACTAGAATCTAGAACAGTGTTTCTCAACCGTGGCAACTCAAAGACATGTAGACTTCAACTCCCAGAATTCCCTGGCCAGCACTGATCTAGAACAAAACTGATTCTAGAATCTAGAACAAAAATGACAGTATTGGTCTTACAAAGATAAAAATATCCTCAGCTTGCATTAGTGACAAGCTTACCATAGCAGGCAGATGCCAGTTCAAAAGGCTCACTTTTAGGACATTATTTGTTAAAAACTACTTTCAGGATTTGCTTATACAATACAGTACACAATAAAAACCCTAATGACATTCCGAGCATTGATTTATCCCTTCTGTAAAAAGCAAATTTCTTACCTGTAATCACATTTATATCTGGGTACTGAGTTTCACAGAGAGTAACTGCTTTGCTATCCTTCTCAAATGCCTCTCGGAGCTCTTTCTTCACAGCTGCTGACCCACATAAACGGTACAGCCCTACAACCTAGAAACAAAATATAAACCTTACCAGAGCAACCTCATTTAGTTCAATGAGTATTAAACTATAAACCAAATATCCAACAGAAATACAATTTTAAATACGCTTAATGTATCAAGGTGTCCATGAAAGACTCTAAAAGGACTGGAAGCCAACCTGTATCATTAGTATGAAATAAGTCTTTTACCAGAAAAAGGAAGCAAGATTATCCACGTTGCATAAAGTATATTGACTGTGCTAAACAAATGTGGTTTATGGAGGGGTGATAGCTATTTTAATTGTAATGAATACAGTGTTATAACAGGACAGGGGAAACCCATGTTCACCCACATTCAGCCACAGAAGCTTACTGAGTGACTTCACATTCAGTTCAAGATGCCTTTCATCACCCTAATGGCTCAGGTCCTCCTTACCTTCAGCATTGTCTAACCTAGTAGAGTCTGCCTGCCTACTCTATTAGAATTCCTCCCCAAGAAGTCAAGGAAGAGGATCCTGGAGGGACTTTCTTGGAGACAGACATTTACTGTGGAATAGCTTGCCTCCTGAAATGAGGATGGTCCCTTCCCCATTCTTAAAGTGTTATGAGCTGTAAAACAAGGTTTATGGATTAGTGTGCTGTGCAAAACTAGACATTTGTGGGTTAATAAACTGAGGTTAAACAAACCATGGCTTAAACAAGCCATGGCTTACCACAATATACAAACTCAGTCTTTATCTCTCAACCCACCACACCTGACATGGTTATTGTTGGGGCAAAATGGAAAAAGGAACACCGTGTACATTGTCTTCTTAATAATAAATTAATTATATTAATTCAATTTTGGTGATGCATTTATTGCAACTTGGACTTACAGAGATGATTTGTCTGTTTTTATAGAAGCAAAGATTTCCTTCTGCACGGAGTATAACCAAATATCATGTAGCCCTCAAGAAATCTTATGCCAGACAATTTGCTAGCAGTAAAACTTATTTAAAAGGCTCTTCTGATTAGAAACCCACAAAGTTTAATAAATATGCCTTAAGGAATGGACCAACATACTTTCAGACGAAAAGAAACAAAATTGTAAATCATACTGTGAAAGAGTGTCATTGCTTCTTTCATAGCAAACGTAGAATTAATCCCTAAGAGTTTTTTCAGAAGGCAATTTCAAAAGCTGTATTGTCTTAGCACTTTTAATGGAAAGGTAGAATAGAAATTTAATAACAATAGCACCTCATGTGTAAACTATATGTAACACTCTTTTGGACGCACCATTAATACAAATGAATGTTATTTCAGTTATAGGACAAAGCATCATTACTGCATGATGCAATGTATAGGAGTCAGATGCTGAATATATCTGGTATTAATTTTTTTAAAATCCAAATATTTCTCATCTAAAAGCATCCTGTTAGAGTGGTAGAATCCAAACCAGAACTATATGTTTACATGCTACTTGAACTTCAGGATTACATTTTCTCTAACAAATGGAGAAATGGATAAACAATTCTTTTGTAATCTAAACTAAAGCAGTACAAAAAAGCTTTAGTTATCAACATTAAATACCAAAGAGTATTATGGTACTTTAAATATTAACTCATTTATTACATTTTCCCCCAGAACCTAGTCCACAAAGCTCACACCACAATGTATTTGCTAGTCTTTTGTTATTTTTTCAATCCCCTTTTGGAAATTGCTAGATTAATGGTCTTTAAAAGCACTACATTATCGTGGGTTAAGGGACAAGGTAAAGCATGTTGAAAATCTGACTGTTCTTACAACCTGAGTACTAAAGGTCTACACACAAGGCATTTAACTTTCCCATAATAGGGAATCTTGCTCTTAATGCATAAAGATTTTCAGTGGTATCCATGTACTGAATACTGGGGTAGGGTTTGTGGGTGTTCCTGGACCTTCTTACCCACTTATATTTTTAACCGTCATGTGCATATTCTGAATATATCCTTTATCCTTAAGGCTGCCCAGGAGCATCTTCTTAATCCTATCAAGCATCCACACTGGGATTCTAAAGGCATGGTGGCTAACAAGCTACCTGTTATACTGAAAAATAAATTTCCTACATCTCATGCCAAACATTTTCTATAACCATGTTAGATATCTTTTTAAAATCAGTTGGCCTTCCATGAGCTTCAGGAAGGCAGAGAGAAGAGAGTTGGTTTAAATCATTCTAATGGGCTTCATGGTTTCAACAACTCTGAGCCTTTGAGATGGGGGAAAAATCAGATAAAAACTGCCTGAAGTGAAAGCAAATAATCCTATTATGACTGAATGATGCAACAGCCTGCTGTGATAGCGGCAACATTTTGGAGAATGCCTACAATTCCCACAGAAGCAACATATAAAGTTACCCTACAAGAAAAGCCCTCTACCCTCAGTTTTGTTTAACTACAACTTTCATATCCTACATCCTGTTCATTTGAGATTTTCTGTCTTTATAAACACAAAAGCCACCATTACACTATAGGTTTGGAATTTTAGGCCAGCCACCTAAAATGTAGCAAATACAATAGGATTGCAGGCTTCTCAAAAGTTGCTGATTCTTTTTATTCATCTGCATCTTGTACTCTAATGTTATGAAGCCCATAATGATGGTCAGCTGTCCAAACAAAGAAAATGAAGGACTACAAGATGTTGCATTCTTTGTATTTAAATAACTATATAGCACAACAACAATGTAATATTGACAGAGGCAAACTTTATTTCTTTACCTGGCAACCTCTTTTTTCAATCTCCGTAATGCACTTCTTCATCAAGAGAGGCACCATCAAACCTTCATTTTCCTTCTCAACAACTTTCCGAGCATCAACTCCAAAGAGTATCGGTTCTCGTTCTCCATCTGTTCCACAGACAGAGTTCTCCCACTGTTCCAGAAGGGTTAGCTTGACATAAATAAGACCTCTAGGCTCCAGTTTTACTGCCAACTGATGAGTCCTCGTCACTCGAAAAAGAGCAGGAAGAACTACCGTACCATGGCAGCAGACCCGATTCTTCCTTGGCATGGGCTCCCAGCTAAAAACCACTAATTTTAAATGCTGAGCATTTTCTATTTCTATGTTGAAAGTGTGATCCATGTCCAAAAAAGTTGTTCTGCAAGTCAGCAAGGCGGTCCTTGCTTTATTTACTGAATCTACCTGAATTGCACAGAAGACATCTTTTGAGTCCATCCTTGGTGGTTTCAGATCTTCTGCACCATAGAAGTGAATGCTCATGAGTCCAGATATATACTGGGAACATTTGGGTTGGTCAGCAAAAGTGTAGTGTCTAAAAGCATCAATGTCTATTTCTGATTTATTACCCATATTGCCTGGGAATACTTCCTTTCCTTTCCCAGCCCTGCTTTCAGCTGCATATTTCCCTGATTTTGTTATAAGCTCAGGTGAGTCCCCATCACTGAGGTAGCCCCCTTTGCTGGAAGATTTGGAAGTCCCACTGTTTTTCTTTTTGTAGCTGTGTTGAGAAGATACACTGCTATCAAGATGATACCGGCTTATAACATTCCTGCTAGCAGCTGCCGTTACATTTCCAGAAGAAGCCAATGGTGCATGGCTTACCTCTGGGCAATTATTTTTAAGCAACAAAGAATTGTCTGAGCTATTATGGCTTGAATTTCCTTTGACACTGAGCTTCCTGCTGAGTTCTGGCAATTTTTTCATCTTCATGGAAAGTTTCCGGACGGTTCTTGGGGATTTTATTTTATCAGGGAAAGGCCAGTTTATTGAGCTACCTTTTTTCAATGGGCTTGGGCTTGGAGGAGAATATTCTGCTATTCCTGTCTCAGCCTTGTTTGCAGACATGATTCCAGGACCTTTGAAAAAAGAAAAGAAATATCAAAAAGAATACTTGGAAATAAGAAACTGCTTCTTTGTCATGATCTGAAAAAGTGCTCTATTTAGAAAGGTGCTGAACAGCAGCTACGCTACTCCCATAAACACCCCTTCCTGTGTGCACCAGCCAGAACAACTAAGACCATGTCTCTTCCTTTCCTTAAGAGACAAAGGAGGCAGATGCTACCTAGGAATCACTGACCCATCCCTGCTGCTCATGGACCATTCTGCTAGTTTTGTGGTCTCACGTATGTTAAATTGATGTCTTTCAAAGAAGATGTTGAATGCAGCTGCTTTGTTTCAGCAACTCTTCTGAAAATGGAGTTCTATGTCTTATCTACACTCCCAAGTTCTGGAAAAGATTGGAAAATAAATGGAACCACTTTGCTTTAGCATCTATGTGTTTAACAGCTGTGCCCTGGCCTTTTACTATCATTTCAAAGGTGGTCCAGGATGTTATTTCACAGTAATTTGCTTTTTTCTGTTTTTTTTTCTTGGCAAACAAATACGTATGGCTCTTCCCATTATGGCAGAATGAGCTTACAATATATCTGGAATCAATCCTCCCCAAAGTTCCAACATGACTTATCTCTTTGAGCCCCCTAATAATTCCTTTCTTACACAAAGCTTGTTACATTTATCAAAGGAATCTGAACATCATGAACAACCACCAAGGAAATAAAACAATCAACATTAGATTCATAAAGAATTAGTTATTTGCTTATTCAAGGTTTTTTTTTTAAAAAACTGTTTAATAGGAGGAAAAAAATAAAAATATAAAACTGGAATACAGCATACAATAGTAGCATTTTATACACCACGGCCTTTCATAGTGAAAGGTGAGCCTCCACAAACTGGTTCCTACCTCGGAGAAGTGGAAAACATACAAAACCTAAGGCTCATCTAGACATCTTCACATCATATCCATGTTTATTGTCCAATAAGTCTATGAAATTCTAATTCTATTAGAAATATTCAAAAATTCTACAATGTCTCTATTGTGTTACAAATTCAGCAATTTCATATATCTAAGTATTAAAAACAGATGTTCAGTGCAGACTGTAAACTGTAATTTAGTATAATGGGGGGGGGG